CTTGGATTTGCTTAAGGAACCGGGAAACATAAACTTTCAGAAGGGGATTGAACCATAGGAACAGTGGTTTTTGGTTTAAACACCTTGCGCAAAACCAGGGGGAACATGGAGAAAACATGGAGAAAACAACATGTACCTCCCAGAAACGACAGTAAACACTGAATTAACAAGTCAGTCAACTATCATCATGTGTTGTGTTGATCCAAAAAATTACTGTCACTACAACACTACACATGTTCATTCACACACACACATACTTAGGAGGTCCGACATTCCATCCATCCAAAAGCGAGATCCGCTGACCCGCACTCCCCGCACTCTGAACATGGTCTCAGAGGCCGTGAAGGGGCCAGCACCTGGAGATGGGGATGCCGGAGTAGCTCGAAGCCTGGAATATCCCTATAAAGTAATTATGCTTGATTAATGAAATAACAAAACACATATGCATAAGAAAAGGGTAGAAAAGGTCTTACGATCCATGCCGCTTTGGGGGTTGGGAAATCTACAGTTTAAATACACTAAGAGTCTACTTCGACGGCCCAGGGCCGTCGTGAGAGACACCGACCGAAGCCGATGGGTCGATCTGCGTGTGGAATGACATGGAGCCCTCGTTCCGGACTCCATGTAAAGACATACATACAGTATTTAGTAGTTTCATTGGGACTTCATAGGAGTGTTACCCCTTGTAGTATGCTTCATGGCAGACTCCATGTATATACATTGGGGTAGTTTCAGAGGTCAATGTAGGCCAGTCCCATGGAATGTCTGGGTGTTGAATTCTTGACTGACACCCAGTGAATCGCGAGCAAAATGGCCGATGTTGTGGAGAGAACAGTGCATGGTCTGTGAATGTCATCGTTGAAGGGGCATTGCGTTCTGGTCCAGCAATATTGAAAGAACAGGAAATGGATCAGCCAGAAGTAACAAGTCCATCCAAAGTTGATGGTCTACAAAGCCTTTTGTGAAAACCATCATGGCGCGCCTGGACCACCAGCTTTCACCATATAATCCCGAGTGCTGTTTAAAAAGCCTCCCCAATAAAAAAACCACGTCCGGAGTCCGAAGCCCTAACTTCGGCATATATTAAGTTTCTAAATTATCGCCCTTTCACGCCGCTACTAAGCTATCAACATGGTCGATTAGGTTCCAAAAACAACCGTAACTGCCGTGGGCACCTGTCTGCCCTGTGCATCCACCATGACACGCCGCGTTTACACCAGCAGGTTTTCCTTCCTCCAATGGCACGGACTCACGCAAACGCACTTGCCACCGAGATCGTGCAAAACCGCATGGCACAGCGACATCACCTTTCGAAAGCTTTGGTTGTTAGTCTAACGAAGAATCAGTATTCTAATAAAGGTTTTTGTAGGGGAGAAGGAAGACCCTTCGATCTGGAGGTTTAATGAATGTTTGATACGAGCTACATAAAGGACTTTATATAACATTTTTCTGGATGACTTTTGGGCTTTGAAGCTCTTCCCAGGTGACCCTATTTTGGACCCCCCCGATTTCAGGGACTCCCTATTAGAAAAAATGCGACCGAGTTTCTCTTATTGGGGGGGGGGGTTTTAATAGGTGGACAGGATTAGCGGACCACCCACCCACCCACCCACGCACCCACTCCAAACCACGTCTCAGCTCCGTTTCGGTGCCGTCGGCGGGGCGCCGTCTAAGGCGTCGAGCAAGTCCGTCTCTCTCAGAGATTCCCGGAAGGTGGACAAGTCGGGCAAGGCTTGAAGGATGTCCTGTCTGGCCATGGTCTTCACCGGGTCCGGCCATGGTCTTCCGGGAGAAACCACACAAAGAATGGGGTAAAGGTCACAGGGATGGCTTGGTTCTAAAAAGCGTAAAAAGCATATAGATATCTATATAATGATGTGTGTCTACCTATGTGTTAAACTATCTATGCATGCAATTGTATATTGCTTTGATGTTTGTTTGTGCATGAAATCATGACATCCAGAATCACCACCTAAGGCTCCTAAGGGGAAACGTAAGGTTGGAGAACACGCAGCACTTGCATGCTGGACCATGCTGGAACTGGGTGAGCATGGTGGTGCAGGGGTTCATGAATAAGGCTCAAGGAGGGAGGGATGCCCAAGTGGTTGAAGATCACAGGAACCCCCCCCCAGCCGCAACAAACTTCCAATGACTCGGTGTGTCAGGGTGATTTCACTGTCAACCGGACCACCCTAACGTTGGAACTGTGTGACTATAGGGGTAACCTTCAGGTGACCAACCACCGGCCTGTTTTCCTCCTAACACTCCTTGTAGCCGGCACCGAACGGACCCAACACCGAAACGACCATACACCCGAACCAAACCCGCACTCGCGGAAGCTGAAGGTCCTAGTAGTTCTTACCTATATAGTTTAGCAGCTTAGCAGTTAAGATATGTTAAGATCAGTTTAGTCCAAAAACAAAGGCAAACAGAAGGTCCAGAAATTCTGACCTACTACGTAGTAGTTGAGCGAACCAAAGGGGTATTGAAGGGCCTAGTAGTTCTTATCCTAGTGTTTCCTAGGAACCTTGAGGGACCCAAGAATCGCTTCAGCCCAAAGCCACTCCCACGGGCCCACGGCGAGTACGGCGTTGCATGGAGGTTCTCCGGTCGACCAGAAAAACCAGGAACCTGATGTCGACCTGTCCACTTCGGATTCATGAACTAGCATAATAAATATAGAGCCATTGTATATCGCTCTCCAAAATGGAGTAACAGTATAGTTTCTAAAAATAGCAAGAATTTATAAGAATCTACAGTAAACCTATTATTCCATCCTTTTCCCAAAGGAAAGTGCTTGTCATGGGAAGGATGCTTGGCATGAGTTTCCACTCACATCACACCAAAGTTGCCAAAATCCTCTTCCAAACACCAAATCCACCTCACAGATCAAACGCTGACCTGCAAGTTGCAGCTTCACCCCTCATGACTCCCTGGGGGGCACATACATGAGCCACCTACCCCCTGCAAGCAAATCAGGTTGACTAAAAAAATGAGCTCAACCTCCTACAAAAAGACATGAACACCTCTGAAAACGACTTTCACCGACCACGACTAGACAGTTATGTCCCGTTCCCACGACCGACGCACGACGCACGCGTGGCCGTGGCGTTGAACGTTTTCACCGGGCGACCACCACGGAAGGCAGCTGCGCCGTGACGCTTCGCAGTGCGGCGGCCCACACCATCCATGCCATGGCGACATCCGATGCCCCGGTGCGCGTGCGCGCGGTGTGCGAGGTCGACCTCCCTACGCATCCAGGTGTAGTGATGTAGGAGACGGGAAGGGGAAGGGTGGCGGCGCATGGTGCTCCAAATCTTCTTACCTTTCGTTCCAAACAAGTTACTTCGCTATATATCGAGAACATGCTTTTATCAAGCTATAACTCTATAACTTAAGGTCTTCACTGCTGTTGCAAGGCCATATCCTTTTTCCACAGGACCTCACTGCCTTAGAGTCTTAGAGGCTGGTGCAGTCTGTCTCACTCTCATGCATCCGGACCCCGTCGATGGCCCCGACCCCGCGAATGGACCGGTTTCGACCATGCTCTGAAGTTCCAACCCAGTGGTTTGGGGGTTCCATGTGGTCCGAACTGCAGGAGGGTTAGCCCTTAATGATTCCCACGCATCGGTTGCACCAGTCATTTGATGCGACAAAATGGATCGAAGAGTCGCATGGCCGACCAACTGCTGTGAGCCGCGGCGAGTCTTCCGCAGTTGGTATCTCAACCACCGTCTAAGCATGACAAAGACACGCTGATTGAATCTCAACCTCCAAGAGCCGATCAACCTCCAAGAGCCGATCAGTACATGATAAATCAGTTCTATGAAGGAAAGCTTGTGGAAGAACTGAAGTGGTCCCTTTCTTCCCTTACCAGCCTTACCACCTGGTCACCTGTTTTCACCATCTTTTGCCCACACACAACAACAACTAACAAGAAACACATATGTTTTCCGTGTAAGAAAGCAGCGTAAGAACGCGCACAAGGGCGTTGTTACACCATCGCTTCAGGATTCGGAGGCCCTGAGATGAACATGAATGAACCCTGAACTTACACAAATGAACACTACCGGGAACCCGGTATGACTAGAAGACCTCACCTCCGAATCGTCTCTTTGCAACTTGCGCTCCCCGAAAGACTGAGTCTCAGCTCCATGGCCCACTTGACGCCCAGGAGCTGAAAGTTTCGGATGATGCCCCGTGCATGCGGGGGGTCTCTTGACGCTCCAGCGTGACAGATGGGTCGCCATCCCCGGCCATCCCAACTGGTGGGATTGCCTTCATGAAAGCAATCCAATGCAAGTGGACATTCAATCCTTATGTTTTACACATGTTTTACATCAAAAACATGAAGAACTTGAAACGAAACTGTCCGGACAATAGCTTGGACCCTGGACACCAGCCTCGTTTCCTCAATGCATCTCGGTCTTGCTAAAGAAGTCCGTCCCTGCAATGCAAGGAGCGAAAAGTCCATGTGACAAACACTGCCAGCAGTGTGACAGCTTTAAAGGTACATTGGGAAAATGTCATGGTTAACGTATCATGACATGACACGTCATGAGCAGTGTGACAGCTTTACTGTGACAAAGTATCACTTTGACTCAAATCTCCCAATGTCCACCTGTTCCGCCCTTTGGGCCCTTTGCTCGTTCCTCTACACGTGGCACACATGTCCCGTTACAGTTACATGCTTAGTTTGGCGAAAAAATCTCGAGATTCGTGTCTAACAGTACGCAACACGGGGGGCGATTGTTTTCGCTAAGTTACTTTCGACTGTGGCCTGGCTGTATCGTTGCTATGGAAAAGGCGCTCCGGTGACTACCAGTCACTCAGAGTTGGCAGCAACAAAAACAAAAAGCGGGCCCGCGTTCGCAGCGCAAACATGGAACAGCCGGTCTTGGCTTCTCAAACTGAAAAAGCAACGCAATTGATTTGTTCACCTCCTCTGCCCAGGTGCTCAACTCCGGAAATAGCTCCTTCTGCAGTTGCGGCGGCTCCTTTCAAAACAGTTGCAGGTTCAATGTTACCGTGGTCAAGGATCTTGTTGTTGGCTTCCTTAATTCCAGCAGCTGCTTCCACCAAAGCTTCCTTACACCATGCGGCACCTTGTCCAGGCTCTTCGTTTCGTGACCTCCGATGTTGAAGGAAGGATTGGGGCCTTTCTGACGGGTCACTTGAGCTATTTCCCGCACCTTGATGCGGGCATCCTTGGCAATGTCAGCTTTGCCCACGGCATGGCTCCACGGCTCGGATGACCCCCCACATTGAGAAGCCGCAGCTGCCACACTCAAAGCTCCAACAGCAACTCCAGCTGCCACATCAAGGGCTTTTGAACAATTTCCCTGAAGCAAGCCCTCGGCAGCAGCAGGCGTGTCCTTCACGACCTTCTTCGCACCAGTGACGCAGCTTTGCGTGGCAGAGATACCTTTGTTGATTTTTTCCACCACATTTGCTTGTTTCAACGCCTTGGCAGCACTGGTGGTCATTTTGGCAGCCTGTTTTGCTTTTCCAACTGTTGCCCCTGCCTTCTTTGCGGCGTTGGCTGCCTTAACGGCTTTTCCGGCGTACTTCACATGTCTCACATTCTGCAGCCACTGTGAGACACCACCGGCTGCGCTTGTTGCAATTGCAAATGTGCCTGAAGCAACACGCCAGGGATCTTCGCGTGCAGCTCCATGAACGATCTCATTCGCGCCTCCGATCACGCCAAACACCACACCTGTCACAATAAGGACAGGTAGGCACTCCGCTGCAAGGACCAAGCCAAGGCCCCAATAAGTAGCCCACATCTGTCCGGACCACGCCTGAACTCTGATGCTGTCACATGCACTTTTTCTTGAGCTACCAACTATCAAAATGGAACATGATGGGAACCTATAGATATGCATAATATATATATATACACAATTTATATAAGTATATAACTTTAGTTATATATAATATGAGATAATAGTATGAGTAAGTAGAACGAGCCATGGGTATATGCTGCTCTTGGCAGGTTGTTTGTTTCAAGTGTCAACCAACTCAACGGTCTTCAAGTTGCAGGTGTGTAAATGTTGGAAAACCAACATAGTCTTAAAGCAAGTTCTTTCTCAGGTCTAGATACGGCAGTTGTGGCTACACAGTGGACACTGCCGCTCAATTCCGCCCAGCCCCAGATCGTCTGGTGTAAGGACATCAGCAATCTGCACAACCTGCGCACACCCTGGGCACTCGCACCATAGCGGCATGACCGTTCCAAGAGAGCAGCTAAGCAACGATGCAAATACTTCTAGAGATGAGAATCAAAACTGCGGCAGAATAAGCACACAAACGACGCAAGCCTTACCTTGTGCAGCCCAACCTCCACTCCCAACTTCCCATCACTCCGTCAAGGGCCAGGAAACACCGGAAAACCCAACCAACCGTATGGAGGCGCATCACATCGCGCCCATAAGACGTGCAAGCAATTGGCTTGTTGCGATCTTGTTGCCATGCCTCTGGCGGCCATTTCGACGCTGAGTCACATGCATCCACTTTTGGGAAAAAAACATGGTGATGCACAGCAACCCGGCGGTCCCAACCTTCTGCAAGCAGCTCCCGGCAGTTCAGGGAGGGACCTTCCCCCACTCGAGCCGAGAAAGGTTTTCAAAACATCGCCAGAAGTGAGAAACATCGCCAGAGAGTTCATGCTGACATCGAAAAGCAAAGAAGCCAAAAAGAACTAAACAACCTGATAGATGTTCCAACAAGATTTTAGCACAGGCCACCCAGGAGCCAAAACAAAGAAGAAACATGCCCCGTCCTTCCTTTTTTCGGCTGACAGGCGCCTCATTTGTGTCACAAACAGATTTAAATCGAGTCATGCATGCAGAATTGATTAGCTGTACATCTCCCAAGAGGTTCCATCCGTCCACGCTACAACGATGTTACGACCACATGTTGGGCGCGCAAGTAACTCGAGGAACTCCAGAGATGTGCCAAAAGCTTGGGAACAATAGAGGAGTCTTTTGGTACCACATACCTATCAATTGTTCATCTACAGTGGAACATGGTGTGGATCCATTCAGGAGTTCCCCAAAAAAGCACCTCCCCAACAACGACGCGGACAACGACGCATTGAATTTCAGGCGTGGCAAAGGCGTCCGCGCCCCACGTGCATCGAATTGGCCGGACCTCGGTGTACCAAACCGTGTGAGTCTTAGGCCGCCTTTAAAGCCACTGGCGGTTCGCTTTGAGACAATGACCTGAAATAATCAAAGCGAACCGTGGATGGCAACACGCCATCGTGTCAGCCATCCACTTCATCATGCCATCCACTCCACCATGATTCTTTCAGGCAGTGTAGTGGTTCTTGCTTCGAGGCATGTGGCTTTTCATCGAAAACAACACCGGGGCACACAGTAGCGACCAAGAACTGCTTGACGACTCTTCAGGGCCTTTTGTTCTCTTGAAGCTTCTTGGCGATGTTGCTGGTAAAGTTTGATATGTATCATAAATATAACTATATATATATATGTATATGTTTCCCCCGAAATACTGTTACTAAGAAGGTTTTTGTTGTAGAAAAGTACATGCGTTCTTATTAAATGACGCACTGAAACATAGAATGTGGGTACGGAAGTGGGAACTTTTTTTGGGAACCTAAGACGTAGAAACATAGAATTTAGGGAGAAAGGGAAAAAGTGTGCACCATGCTTTCCTTTTGTTCCTATCACGGACTGAAAGATAGATGCATATCATATGTATATATATATATATGGATCAGGGGGTGTGGCCAGGCATTCTATGTCTTAACCCCAAAATCTAGGCTGCCGGGCATTCTATGTTTCATTTCACATTTTTGTGCCAGGCATTCTATCTTTCAGTCTGTCGCTGTAAATGTATTTGGGTAATTTCTCAATGTATATTGTTAATTTCGCCACAGTAGCGACATGAGACTTTTTGCACACGTAGACTTTTGAGTAGACTTTTGGCTAACTCTCTGTCATCGTCCGTCTTCCAAGAAACGCTTTCTTGAAAGATCTTAACTTGGTGAGTGTATCCCGTGACGGGTCAGTCCACTCAATGGCCGAGGTCCGGCCACTCAGGTTTCTTCGGCATCTTCAGGGCTTCTTCCAAGAGTCTCATCGTCTCCGGCGACGCCTGTGAAGGGTCCACGCACTGGTCCACGGTCCGTGGAATTGGCACGGTGAGTTCAGCGCCAAGAGGTGAGAAGTTCCGAAGAAACATACCACGCTCTGGGTGAGTTGAGCAAAACATGCTTTGGTGGAGCCTGGCGTGAAAACTAACAAAGGCCGACCGTTCATGGTTTTCTCGCAGAACAGGTGCAGTGGGTGAAGCCAGAAATGGTTCACGGTTTAATGCTGCTAGTTGGCTGTTTCTCGGTGTTCCCGGAGGACGTCGCAAATAATAAATGCAATGTGGTTCTAGCAGTCCAACTGCAACCCCACTCATCAGCATGGTGGCACCAAGTTTACAAAACAGAACTCCAAAGAAACCTGCTCAAGATTGCAATCAAGGGCTTCATCCACCCCCAGCTTCCTGAGGCGCGAATCCAAAAAACTGAAACATGCCATTTTAGGTCCCGGAATTGAGACACTACCAACCCCTGGTGCATGTCCATTGCACTACATGCAAATGATAAACAACAACTTAAACAACAGCCTTGCCGTCGGCCCGAAAGCCATTTCAAGAACATGTCTGGGTCTTGGGGTCTTGGGGTCTCTATTCTCATGAAGCACGGTCCTAGCTGAGTCTATAGCAGCATAGCCCAGGCCCATCAGTCGGATTTCAATCACCGGTGAGGCTTTTCGGCCGTTAGGGGCCCAGTGTAATTGACAATGCATGACACGTACGGTTCATAATTGGACGATCGGACTCCGGCGGTGTCGCACAAAGGAGGCGATCGTGCCTCAAAGCATCTCACCGAGTCCAAACGCACCGATGGTTGCACGATAAGTTACGGCATCGGGTTCAATCTGAACCCGGCGCATGCATTCAAGCAAGCTTGTTGCTAACTGCCATTGCCCGCCAACAGTGCAAGCACTGATGGCCGCATTGAAGGTGACGAGGTTAGATTCAACAGACGCCTGCGGCATGGACTGAAACAGGTCGAGTGCTTCTTCCCATAGTCCGCCCGTTTCACAAGCACTGATGGCTGCTCCGTAGCTAATGATGTTTGGGTCCACTTTGGCACGGCGCATGGCTTCAAACAAGTTCAAGGCTCGTTGGGGCTCACCGCCCTTGTCACAAGCGCTGATGGCGGCACTGTAGCTGATAACAGTTGGCAGGATATGCGACTTGGGCATAGCATCAAACAAACTCAATGCTTCCTGCCACTGCCCACCCTTCTCACAGGCACTGATGGCAGCGTTGTAGCTTATGACGTTTGGCAGAACCTTAGCCTTTGGCATCATGATAAACAATGCCATGGCTTCTTCCCAAACACCACCCTTTTCGCACGCGCTGATGGCAGCACTGTAACTTCTCACGTTTGGCAAAACACTTTCCCGAGGCATGGCTTCGAGCAACCTTAATGCCTCCAGCCATTGCCACCCCTTCTCACACGCGCTAATAGCCGCGTTATAGCTAATGACATCAACATCTTGGTAGGGCATTGATTCAAACATCTTCAAGGCTTGCTGCCACTCCTCAGCATTTCCGCATGCGCTGATGGCTGCATTGAAGCTAATTGTATCCGGCCATACTGTGGCATGGGCCATCTCATCAAACAGACTCAATGCCGGTTGCCACTGCCAGCCCTTCGCGCAGGCACTAATTGCCGCGTTGAAAGTAATCACGTCGGGATAAATGTTCACCATAGACATGACTCCAAACAAGTGCAATGCTTCCTGCCACTGCCCACCCTTCTCACAGGCACTTATCGCAGCATTGCAGCAAGAGAGAGTTGGCTGCACTCTAGATTTGGGCATGGCTTCAAACAGCTTCAGCCCTTCCTGCCATTGCTCGGCTTTTGCACAAGCACCGATGGCTGAAACATATGTGATTTGATCTGGCAGAACTCTCGACCTCGACATGGCATCAAACAAGATGAGTGCTTCCTTCCATCGCCCGCCCTTGTCGCAAGCACTGATTGCTCCATTGTAGCTAACAACATTTGGATCGGTCCATTCTAGCATATCCTCGAGCAACTTCTGCGCAATCTGCCACTGCCCGCCCTTGGCGCATGCACCGATCGCGGCACTGTACCCAATGACCGCGCAATCAACGCTGACTGCTGGCATGGCCTCGAAAAACTGCAAGGCCTGTTGCCACATCTTGAGTTTGGCACTGGACGAAATTCCCACTCCGACGAGATAATCCGTCCGCCTGATGGCGATGCCCTTCTTCCTAGTCGCCTCAAAGAATCGAATGGCCAGGCTGCCCCGGCGTTGCCGCGCGAAGATCCCTAAGACTGCAGCAATCTTCTGATCGGCTGCCTCCGACGTCACTTCTTGCAGCAAGGCGTCGAAGCGGGTTTCATGCTCCGGAGTGTTTTGGCACAACTCAAACAGCCTCCCATCACACGAATACCCCGGTCTTTCATGCACCATCGCCACAAACAGGAATGAATGGATTCTAGAATCTAGCTGTTAGACCGTTTGGGCCAACTGTCAAGTGTGAAAGCAAAGCTGAAAGTGGTTGAACGTCGTTGTGTTTTTGGGCGTCGTTCTTGACACCTCAGGGCTCTCGACGCACAGTTAAATGCAACAATTCACATTAAAAGTAGAAAAATGAGTCCATGTAGAACGGGTCCCGGCGGCATCTTTCTCCATGGGCATTTCTCTTTCAGGTGGTGCAGGCATTTCTCCGTCTCCCAAACATCTGGGAGTTCGTCGTCATCACTTGAGATCGTCTACTGTCATCCAGGCCCAAACAGAATCAATCTCAGCGAACCTTGACGGACGGAGCCGTTTTGCCCGGCCTGCTGTGTGATGTGCAGAATCACGTGGCTCAAACCCTGCTCTCCTTGGACCGGCTGCTTCAGCCAGTCGGGGTTCCGTCGGGGTTCCCGAGTCCGGTGGAAGTCCAAAAGCACCTCTTCGACCGGTCAAAAACGGTCCTAACGAGAACCACTGGTTTTGGTGATAACATGTGACACATAGTGACACGGTTGTTGCTCACGCAACAGGAGGTGCACAAAAGGGCTGACATTCTTGGGAGGGTTCAGGATTCTGGTTTCTTGGAGGAGGGATTTGAGTAGAAATTATATGGGTACTGTAAATTAGCCAGCAAGTTTGAAAAGTGGGCTTCTCGTGCACAAATCAAATTGATTGTGAACCAAGCTATTCCAAAAGCCTGTTTTCATCGAATCTTGACCTGATTCTCACTTTCCCAGCTGAAACCAGGACAACCACACTATAGATATCACATGCTAGATGCCCCAGAATCTACGGGCCAGATTCATGTCACCCGAATCTAGAATTCAACGAAAAAGACGCAGCTGGGCCCCTTCCTCCAGCCACCAAGCATGTCGACTCGGCACCCACGGTCCCCCGGCGGATGTGGATCTGCTCGATCCAGCGCTTTACCCGTGCCACTGATCCTGCGAGCCCCGCTGTGCCGGTCAGTCGTTTCTCCGGTTTCACGCTGCGCCGTGGCACCAAAACTGCTCGAGAAAATAGACCAAAGGCTATACGGTTTGGTAAGATCTACTGAGATCTGCCACAGTAGGTGCCATCAGGCCCAATTCGTTGCAATCTTAAGGCACCATCCACAAGCCAAGAGTTGGTGCATGCTTTTTCTTGACGCTCATGCAGTTGTTTGTAAACAAGTTGGAGAAAATGCCCCAATCACAGAAATGGATGATGGCACTGGCTTGCCGCCCAGCCAAAGGAACATCATCTGCACCCCAAAACCATTGCAACAGGGGCAACTCCGCATCCAGCGCGAGCTGCAAAAAGAACCCGCCTAAGTTTCGCTGCAAAATCCAGCCTGGCGAGATGGATGAAACATGCTGAAACCGAGCACAGGAAGTGGAACACCTTCCTACGTTCCTAAGGAGAAAAAAAACGTTTAAACACATGCCAATTAGAAAACATTGTACTGTAAGAATTGTTCATGTCATGTCACATGTCCGGTTTCTTCACCTGCCGCAATGATGGAGAAAAACAAAAAAAACAACCCTGGAATGCCGAGAAGTTGGGTTTCACCCGGTCCAATCCTCAGGGTGCCCGGTCTGGGACCGTCCTTCCCCGCCCCCGGTCCCACCGGTCGCGCCCGAGTAGGCCGCCCGCCTTGCTCCTTTTGGAAGCGCTCCAAGGACACGGAGAGCCAACGATCCAAGGCCTGCGCGTTGCGGGGAAGAGACCGAGACCTTGACCAATCCCAGACACGACACGTCTGGGACTGCCATAGGACTGCCGATCAGGCCAGGGGTGGTGCCAGGGCGGTCAATGGGGCGGCATATATGGCAGTCCCATTAGTCGTGTCTGGGAATGAGAGTTAGGCCAAAGTGGCATGCACTTCCAGTTATTGCAAGCTGCTCGGTGCCGACTCCCAGAAAACCCAACACCGCTTAAGCTATCCCAAACACGACACATCTGGGACTGCCATAGGACTGCCGATCAGGCCAGGGGTGGTTGAAGTTGGGGTACATGGCATATATGGCAGTCCCATTAGTCGTGTCTGGGTATAGCATCTCAACCATGAACATTCGCATGTCGAACACACCAATCACATCAAATCTGGGGGCCTGTTGATCCAGTAGGCCTTCTTCCTTTTGTCGCCTCCTTTCTCTCGGCCTCCGTCCTGGCGCTCCCGGTTCTAACACGCACCCCGCGCACCTGGCGCGTGTCGGTCATCCAGGACTGCAGCTCGGAATGCATCTGTTGCTGCCTGAGGTGTGGGACGAGGTGTCGGAGGTTCTTGGAGGTCTTAACATCGAAACGGGAGGTCTGGGCCGATGCCAGGTGCTCAACCGAACTTGGTTGTACACCACTGGAGGTCTCCCCTCCGTTCATCAACCAAGCAATATGCAAATAGTGGTTTGGGCCATCTATGGTCGAGAAGACCCCAAAACAACCGACTGTGGATTTGGGCAAAAAGGCCCTGGATGCGTTGTTCTCTGCTGGCAAACAGGAATCCAAGGGAGGCTGGAGATATATACTTTGGGTACAATATGTGTTATTTTCACAATGTTAAGATCCAAAGATTTGATCAGTGAACTCAACCATCTCTCATCTCCTTTGATTCAGTTTGGCCACATCAAGTGGAACTTCCAAGGAGCGTAGCTGACAGCTCTTGAGCCCACACTCATCTTTGCACAGTTCTCATAAGAAGGCAATTTGTCATGACCCACAGTCAAAGTGGCTCCAACATAAGAAACATGAGCTTTTGCTCCAATCATATTGCCTTCCAATCTCCTCCCAACATAATGACCTTCCAATAAAAGGAAATGAAACCGTTACCGCTAAGTGGCTCCTCTTTGCTGACATTGCTTTGGATGGCGCACTCCATCCTCTCCATGGCCTTAGTCGACGCAAGGCAGTGAGGAAGTAGTGCAGGACTCTAGCCTGTGTGGCAGCTGGGCTGATCAGAAGGGTTGGAATTCTTGGGGTGAAACTGAGTCCGAACACTAGGCCGCCGGGATATGCGAAAGCAGAAAACTGGAGACATTTCAACACAACAAGGAATAACAACATAAAGAAGCACATTGGGTAACAAACAGGCAAAGCCATCTTCAACTTTTACCAGGTCCTCTCAACATCTGTCCTGGCAGCCATACATATGGCTGGTCAAAACCAGGATGCCTTGACCTACCGACGTCACGGTCGTTCGCTACATGGTGTTGGCAGTCCAGGTCTTGACTCATCCCCCCCAGATAGCATTTCCCAGACACGCCATGGGACCGCCATATATGCTTATATTGGGGTGGTGCCAGGGGGGTCAATGGGGCGGCATATATGGCAGTCCCATGGAGTGTGTGGGTTTTATATTCTTGCATAAGCTCATGCGCCCGCAACCGTACCGAACTTCTAGTATGCTTTAAGAGTAGACAGCACACCGGAACCCCAAGTTCGGTGCTTCACATGGACCCCCATCTGTCTAAGCCGTCTTTGGGTGCCAGTGCCATCTAGTATGAAACCACTGTAATACCCGCACATGAAGATGGGGTTGAATCTAACCCAGCCTCGCGCCAGTTCTTAGAGTCCTCAAGCACCGCCTCCTTAGACACGGGCCGGATGGGAAGAGAAGAGACCAACTGTCGCCTCAAAGAGTAGTTGTCGTTCAAGGTCGGCAGCACCGCCACAACCACTGGGTCTACCAAACACCCTATGCCAAGCTTTGTGGGATAATGAATTGGTCAAGCTGCTGTGGGCACTGGGAAGCATCATGATTCTTGGATGTCCGAATTCTGCTACCCCAAACAAATCTCTTGCAACGTTTCTTGCAACTGTCGCCGTTGGTGGCTTCCAACACATCCGACAAATGCTATATGCTATTAATGCTATTATTCATCCCCAAGTCATTCAAAGCATTTGGGAACCAGTCAACACCTGCGACTGATGAATGCAGCCCTGCTCTAAGTGACTGCTGAGGCAGCAGCCAACTCTGATCGGATTTGGTCAACTTCAGCCAAGCAGGCCCTTGGAAATAGCGCAAACAATCCAAGGGACTGACTGCAGTAGATAGAGGGTTCTTTCCAAGGTTGTGCTAACATTGCTGCTCTAGGATTATATGACTCTGATCTGTCCCAAACAATCCATGGGACCAGAATATTGATAAAGATCTCATCTACTTCACCCAAATGAATGGCCTCATGGATGACTTTGTTGCTTGCAATGTCTCAGAAACACATCACCCGTCCCCCGGCGTCTTGGTACATTACATCTTGCTACTCCCCGCGTGGTCCGGATTCCAGATGAGGCCTCATCGCGCTCAAGTCCTCCAAAGCTTCCTGGAGCTTCTCCTGGCGCGCAGCTGGCGCCCGGTGCATCTGTGGCGCTGCTGGAGCTCTTGGAGTGCTGAAGCCAAAGGAGAGCATGGATCTGTCATGGGAGACGTGTTTTATTGAATCATACAATGGTGAAACCAAACAAACTGGATATCCATGGACATCCTGGATGCATGTGTGGGGGCTTCATTGACTTTCCATGGGTTTGTGAGAATATGTTTTTTCTGGCCAAGAGTTCTCAAGGGTAGTTAAACAATGACACGTCTCCCTTCAACCCGGGTGCCCTGTAGTTTCGGTACTGGAGTCGATCATCCAGCTAGCCGCCTTCCTGTAGATTTCATATGACATCGGCTGTCTAGCTGTCGGCCTCTAAAGTGAAATGTCGGAGGGCGATTCTCAATGAGATGGGTGTCCACTCTGGTTATAATTCATTTTTGCTAAAGCAAAAGGAAGACTCAGGTAGCGTAACCGCTACCTTTCGTGATCACGGTGCTTGCCTGGAGCGGGTGCAGTCATTTCCTGCTGGCATTCCCCAAACCGTCCCCTCAAGGATGGCCTCCATTGTGCAGCTGCGCTGGTGCTCGTTCTTCGTCAAGCCTTCAAGGAGCAGGAGCTGCTCCTGAAGAAATCTCAGGGTAAACAAAACATGGACGGGTACCCCTCAGTTCCTGTTCACCTTGCGCTTGCCAAACCATGTATATAAAGACCCATCCCAA